TAAAAGTAAAAAATTAACAATTTAAAGTAAAAAGGCGGAAAATATCTTCTTTTTGTGAAATAATATAAAAATCTTTAAATGAAAAAATTAAAAATGCATTTGCATATTTATTTTTTATATAGAAATGAAATTATATAAATAACATATATGGACATTTTCGTTTTTGGTATTATTGGTCTTGACATAGACTCTTTTTTTAAATGATAAAATAAGTTTGAAGATGTTAACAACCTTTTTAACGTAAGTTTCTACTTAACTGTGCTATTTAATATGTTAGGTAATAAATAATCTACTTATCGCGGTTTGTTTGGACACTTTATATACTACGAAATATTATGCGCAACATAGAAGATATAAAAGAAGAGATATTAGCCTCTTCTTAAAATATGTGAAGAATAATAATAAATGTCGCGCGAGATCGTACGCTGTTGTCTCGCTTGTTGCGCAGAAACTGGGCCACTTTCGGCTTTATTTAGATGAACCGAAATAGAGATCGAGGAGGATAGCGAAGATACATCATATACTCGGTCGTTCATCATTTTCCGAACTGTATAAATTATATTGCGACAGCGCGGATCGTCTTGATCTGTCCGCGAAGATTCTTTTAATTATGATCTATCAAAAATTATATAGTATTTAAATATTTATTCCTAAATATTTATCAGATTATTTATATTATTAAATTCTATTCCAGATAAATATTAAAAATTACAATTTTTCGCTGTAATTTATGTAGTCTGGAAGAATTACGTAACATAAGGGTGATTTGAGATGTGAAAATACCACATCTCGATATATTGTTCGGTTCTTCGAGGTCGCAGAATTTGGATGCATGCACAAAATATGAAACATCAACTATTTTCTCAAGAAATGTCGTCTCAAACTGGTTCTAATCCAACCGGAAACCTCGCGCTTTAATCCTTCGGCCAGTCGGTAATCTATTTTGATTCCTTGTCGAAGCTCCCACCACGATGAGAGTTTCTATCCAGAGACTGACCCGTTCGGATCTTTTATTAGAGCCAGTCAGAGAGTTTCAGGAAGGGAACGAAAGACGACGAAAGTGCGAGATAAAATCGCCGTAATATCCCTATCGCGATAGTAGAATTCATATCTTCGATCCATGGAAAATCAATCGAGCGATCTCTTTTTTCCGTTAATCGATTAAAACTGAAATAGAAAGTGACCGTGCCTTTCCTTGAAACAAAATCATTCGTGACTACCACGGCCTGCGGTCATTCGAGAAAGGTGGTTTCGAATTTCGGTAAGTGAAGTGCGCCAGCGCGTAGGCAGACACGGTTGCGCGATAATCGCGCAAGGAAAAATGTTTACGGGTCAGCTGCCAAGAGATGTCCGCAACCGCGCGAGCAATCGGAAAAAAAAAAAAAATCGCCGCGTAAAAATCACGCGATAAAAATTCGCCGAGATGAGCCACTTGCTAATCGACTTATGTCTGTATATCTGATAATAAAGTATACGCAAACACAACCCCCAAAACAATATACATACAATTTCCCTTTCCCATTCGTATCGACGATAGAATTACGACGCGTCTAAAAATACAGAACAATTTACACAAAGACAATTCATGCCACAATATACTTATAATTTTGCGATTCGAATTCAAAATTATCCCTGATCGTCTAATTGAGTAATAAAATAATTAGCGCGATATTTAATTTAAATTATGATGGAAAAATCAATTAAGTATTATTCTAATAAATATTTCCGTCCGAAAAATTGTGGAGACACGACCGATGTAATTTACAAAACATTTATTGAAAATATATTATATAAAAATTTTGTGAGATTCGATTTTTTTTTTTTTACGCGAAGAGATGCGCGATTTTTCGGCACGGCAGTTGACGTTTCCTGTCGAGACTTTGCGAATGTTCTGAGCTTTAGACAAGCACGTAGCGGAATTTATACAAAAGCGTGGCGTAACAATGACGCAACATGTCGTAACAGCATCGCCGTAAAATTTTGGCACATTGTCTATTTCGGGCGAGAGTAGCATTTTTGCGACGTCTAACCGCTATGCAGAAATCAATATATGAACTTGCGACTGTAGTATCTTATTAATATTCATCTAACAATATTGCGTTTTTTTTGGTACTAATTTATCATAAACTAACGCATACAATTAAGTATTAATTTATTCCTTAAAATGTGCTTTAAAAGAAGGTGTTTCTGAAGACGGTAGTGTTAAATATATGTTAAATATATGATATTTTGCAATTTTTTATCTTGTAGATAAGAGTACCTTATCGAAAAATAATTAAAAATAAAGTAATATAATGTGTACATCATCACTTCGTTCTTCTCTATGGTTTAACCAATATATTCGAGATTTAATTTAAATACCAAATTATTTATTTATACATATAATATTTGATCGACATTTTATATATATATATTATTTCTTAATATTTATATTTCTTTATAAAGATTGTGTGTGACAAAAATTAGAAAAAATATATATTTATTAAAGATATTTGTTCTATAATTTATTAAATTTAGAATTTAAAAAAAATATATTTTTCTTTTATTTCTTCGAAAAATATATTTTTCTTTTATTTCTTTAAATTTATTTGCCTTTATATAAACATTTTAAATTCAAGTAGATGATAAACGAAACGAAAGTAGTATGATATAAATAATAAATATTATACAATTTCAATTAATGACAGCCAACATTGTGCAATCTGCAGATGAATGGTGTCTAACAAAAACAATTAGAAAGCCAGTGACACCCCAGTAAAGAACGCCACGTGACGGCGAAGGGTTGCGCGTTTCAAACGCCAGGCATTCTAGCTAGGTCTTTGCACTTGACCATTTCCTGGTTGCCAGAACTACATCTCGTCTCAATCGGTCAGGTCTCTCTCGCTATTAATTACTCCTGACACTTCTGTCTATTGACTGAAACAAATGGTCCGGAGCTCTCGAAGAATATTTCGTAAACAAGTTACTTGGCATGTTTATTTTAAGGTTTTTTTAAAGTACAGTACGATTTCAACTGTACAGCTAAACTTTGTTTATTTTTCACAAATAGCTCATTTATTTCAAGATAAATAATGTAATTAAAAAGTTTTGTAATCGAAGTATATTTGTTTTGCAAAAAAAACGTTCGATTCTTTTTCAAAAAAATCAAAAATAATCCGACAACGAAACGAATTATACAATCGAATAATAAACAAAACGTCGACAAAAATAAGCGATAGATATGAATCCACGAAAATATATGTTGTTTGACTCGTGCGTTAAAATTAGTACAAGTAAAAGAAACTATAGAGTCGAAAAAAGGGGAGAGAGAGAGAGAGAGAGAGATATTAAAGGCTGTGTAAATTGCGAAACGAGATCGATCATAAGAAAATAATTTCGGTGCAGAACGGACTAGACAAAGCCGTTTTAATCTAATTCAGTCAGCTCGCGAACGAGCGTGGCGAATGGGAGTTTTCAGATCTAGTGGC